CATCGAGGAGGTGAGTTCCGATATCCAGATGCATCGACATGCATACGGTAGCTTCGCGCTGACTGTGAACACTAGTGTTCATGCATGTGTGCACGTGTGCTGATATGTATATGGCTGTTCCATGCTGTAAGAACGGTTTTTTGAAGGCAGATCTGCCTTCCATAGAGCGGTTTTCTGAAGGCAGACCTGCCTTCAAAAAATGGTCTACTCTGTAAGAACGGCTTTTTGAAGGCAGATCTGCCTTCAGAAAACCGTTCTTACAGAGTAGACCAGTGTTTGCACCTGAGGAGGAGGAGGAGGAGGAGGAGGAGGAGGAGGAGGAGGAGGAGGAGGAGGAGGTAGCCGCCCCGTCGCCGCCTCGTCGCCGCCCGTCGCTCGAGCCTGGCCGTCGGTCTCGCCGCCCCGTCGTCGCCCGCCGCCGCCGCGCCGACGCCTCGCCGCTCGCCGCCCGTCGCCGCCCGTCGCCGACGCTCCGCCGCACTCCCACGGCTGCATTGCAATCGCGCTGCGTTGCTGTGCATTGCGCCCTATTTTGTATTTTTTTGCGTTTTTTTATAGTTTTTTTTTAATTTTTTGTTGGTGCTTTGTATATTTTTGTACTTTGTATTTGTATTCATATGCATATGTTGCACCACGTAGCTTGCACCACATTCACTGCACTACACCCGTGAATCGATTGCACGACATCGATCGCACCGCACAGCTTACCCCACATGCGTTGCACCACACGTACTGCACCACACAGACTGCGCCACAGACATTGCAGCACATAGCTCACACCACATGTATTGCACCACATGGATTGCACCACATTGATTGCAGCACATAGTTTGCACCACATCGATTGCACTTCATAGCTTGCACCACGTAGCTCACACCACAGGTATTGCACCACGCACGTAGCTTGCATCATGTAGATTCCTCTCGCTTCGCGTGGTGCACGTCCGGAGCACGGAGAGTCCAGTCGATGTGGGGCCTTTTGGGAGCCTCGTGGGGGCGTCTGCCCGTCCTTGGTCGCTCTTGTGTCGTCTGGCAGTTTTGGAGTCCGGGCCAGTGTTCATTTTGGAGCCGCCTTTTCGGTTCTCTTGGGGTCATGTTGGCCCGTCTTGGGGGGCTCTTGGACCGCTTTTCTAAGGCTTTTGGGGTTCTCTTAGGGTCCTCGTCTGCCTGTGAACCTCAGATTGCTGCCTACCTCCTCCCGCCTCGTTCGCTTCCTCCTGCCTGCCACTTTTCGGCCTACTTTATCCTCGTGCCCCCTCCCCCTATCATCCTCTTTGTTGTCCTGCGTCTCCTCTATTTCCCCCTATGTATCCCCCTAACTCCTGCTTCATGTTCCTCTTGCCCCCTCATCCTCCTATCTTTGCTGTTTGCTTCTTCCTCCTCATTGTTTCCTGTTCACTCCGATTCCTCCTCCTCCAGACTGCTCGTGTTGCCTTTTCCTCCTCTGGCAGCCGTTTGCTGCGTGATTATCCTCCTTGCATTCCCCGTTTCCTCGTCGCGTTTTCTTTGTTTGTTCCTCCTCCTTCGGTTTCTCCTCCTCCTGCTCCTCCTCCTCCTGCTCGTCCTCGTCCTCCGCCTTCTTTTCCTCCATCTCTTCCTCCTCCTTTGCCTCCCTTTCTTTTTACTATTCCTCCTCCTCCTCATTCGGCCCCCATCCAGCTCCCTCCTCGTGCTTCTCGTCCTACCCTTCTGGGGGCCTTCTGTTCCATCCTGGAGCTTCGTGGTTCCTCCTTGAGCCGGCCTCCTTGGTTTCCCGTCAACTCTCGATTTCGTTTCCTCCGTGGTTTCTTGTTTGATCCGTCAGTTTCCCCATTTCATCCGGTCTTCTCTTGAGCTTCGACGCCCCCCTGCACCCTAATTTTCGTGGTCTGTCGATTCTCGATTCCCTCCTCTTCGTCATTGTGTATTTCCATTATTTTTAGCATCTCTCATCATCTTTGGCTCCACTTTGATGTTCGTGGGTTTGGAGGTTCATTCAAAGGCTCCATGTCGTTTGTGATCCTGCATCTTCATGACATCGGCCATGGTCATCGTAATGCTGTCTACCTTGATCACGGCGGTGTTGGCCACAATGATTGGGGCGAGGACGATCCTTACGGTGGCGGTGATGGTAACAAAGTTGATTGTGCTTGACATGGTAATGACGGGCATGATTATGTTGATCATGACAATGCTGGTGAAGGCGATGGGCTTACCGATGGCGATGACGATGCTGATGGTAATCAGGACGATGGCGACGGCGACGATGACGATCGTGATGGTCATGCTGATGGTGATGATGATGACGATGCTGATAGTGCTGATGGTGGCGATGGTGGTGATGATCATGATGATGAGGATGAGGATGAGGATGATGATGATGGTGATGATGATGATGATGATGATGATGATGATGATGATGATGATGACGATGATGATGATGATGATGATGGTGTGAGGTTGATGAGGTGAGCGCCGCGGTGAAATAGGTGCGCCGGTTCGAGTGCCCCCGAGCCCGTTGCAGCTGTGGGCCGGGGGGTGTGCGCGGTTTGCGAGTGCGTCTAAATTCGATAGAAACGATGGAAATAAGTGTTTTTGGCTTCTGGAAGCGCCCTGTTGGGCGCTTCTGGGGCCCCTTCGGGCAATCTCGGGGGCGCGGTGGGCCCTCTCGGGGCCATTTCGGGTCGTCTTGGGGCCGTCCTGTCCCGTTGTGAGAGCGCCGCGAGTCGCCTTCGCGCCCTCTTAGTCCCCCGAGGGGCCCGAGGGGCCGAACACATCATTTTTCCATTCGTTTTTCTTGAAGCGCTACGGCCCAGAAGGGTCCTCCACCTTCGGGTCGGCGGAAGTGGCGCGACCCCCACGGGGGGGTTTATGGGGGGTGCGTAGTAACGTAGCGCAGTGCGACGTGTGGCAATGATGAATCGTTGGGTGCGTTGGATACGTTGCGTTGCAGCGTCCGCGGAAAACGCTGCCGTTCAACGGGTCGCTTCCGGGCGTGGATTCCTTTCGCTTCGCGGGGTGCACGTCCAAGGCGCGTGGAGTCCAGTCGTTGGGGGGCTTTCGGGGGCCTCGTGGGGCGTTGCCCGTCCTTGGTCGCTCTTGTGTCGTCTGGCAGTTTTGGAGTCCGGGCCGGCTTTCATTTTTGGGCCGCCTTTCGGGTTTTCTTGAGGCTTTGTTGGCCCGTTTTGGGGGGCTCTCGGACCGCCCCTGGGGTTCTCTTAGGGTCCTCTTCTGCTTTTGAACTTCATATTGCTGCGTTCTCCTCCCGCCTCGTCCGCTTCCTCCTGCTTGCCCCTTTTCGGCCTAATCTGTTTTCACAAAGAGACGGCGGTTGGGAAAACAATAGACGGCGGAAAGTCCACCGAGCGACATGCGGGCGCAGATTCCCGCATGTCGCTGGGGGCTGTTGTAAGGATAGTGGCGCTTTCTTATCAACTCACATCACAGTTTTGGTTTTTCTTGTTGTTGAAGCTTTATTTTCCTCATCAGGGTTGCATTTTTGTTTCTGTTGCCACGCGCATATGATCCTCCTTCCTCCTTCCCGTCCTCCTTCTTTTCCCTGTCCGCCGCTGTTTGGTTCAAATGCAAGTGCGTTGTTTTGTGAGGGCGTCCGTGGTCACGGTACTAACGCAAATCGCGCGAGGATGCCCGAGTCAAACGCATGTGTGATCAACAAATCCATCGCCTTCAGGGCGCGCTTCAGGACTGAGTCGAAAAAGGTTGTTCCGCCTTTTGAAGCGGTGCCTCACCCTGTGAATCGGGGCGGGGATCCAGTGAAATCGTTGCGCACACAAGAAATCATTCGTTCAATTTTCAAGGATGGATACGATCCCATCGAAACCAACAGCAATGGCGTACTCGTCGAAGTAAAGCCCGCGATAGCGGAGGGGGGGGGGAGGCAACAAGTTTCAGGAAGTGTTTGAAACGCAGCAGAAGACATATCCAGACATGGCGCTTCATGGAGACCCCAAAGCACCGGCGGTGTATGGTAGTTTGTCGCACAGTCATTTGAATTGTTGTCTGCGAAACATCGCGGGAGGCAAACGCGGATGCGACTGCAGCGCCCTCCGCGGTAGCGGAGGCGGTCGCGGCGGCAAGGGCGAGCGCGCGGCCGCGAAGATCCTCGACGCTCAGGGGTGCCATTCGCTGGAGAAGCTCAAGGGATTTGATCCTGAGCGGGCGCGGCAGTGCGCAGGAGGCCTCGAATGGGAGATTCTTTCCTGGCAAATGGATGAGGAAGAGCCCGAGGCATCCCTGACGGTCAGCGTCGCGTGAAACAAAAGGAGCGAGATCGCGATGAAAACAGGGGTCTTGGATATCATGGCCACCCTTGAGGGCTTGTGCAAGCCGGGCCCTCAAGGGTGCGTGCCGTTCGAGCCAGTGAGGGGCAAGCTGGTGGACTTGCACGGCGCCGAAGTCGACCACCCCGATTTCCCGAGCCTGTTCAAGGTCGTTTGCGACGCAGGCGGGCATGTCAGCCTCCACTTGCAGGGCCTCAGGGCGTTCGCGAACGTGTTCGTGAACCCGAAGGTGAGGAAAAGGCGCCTGGAGGCGTTTTCGGTGATCACGAAGTGCCCCGTGGAGTTCCCGGGACTGAGGAACGCTTCCATGAAGTGGGCTTGGAAGCAGCCGACAAGCCGCGGGGGGCGGTGCCAACTGCCGTGCAATATTGCGTGCAGGTTTATCCAAGGAAGCAAGAGTTCGATGTGCGAATTCTTGAATCAAGCCGAAGCGGCGATGCTGGACCTGAGCAAAATAGCATCCACGGTGGTGGATGCGAGGCACGGCGAGAAGGCGAGAGTCAAATGGATTGCCGAGGTGGAGGTCGCGACCATGTCTAAAATACACTAGGCTGCGCCACGCCGTCGCCGTTGTTTCCCCCAAAGGCGCCTACAGAGGAGATGCGGCGGGGTGGAGGGGGAGTTCAAGGGAGGGGATGCAACTACTTATGTATTTAGCTACACGTGCTCTTGGTCGCCCCTCCCTCTTCTTGCCCCTCTCCTGTCTGCGTTTCTCCGCGG